GCATGTGATTGGTTAGACTGTGATCAGTTAGCATGTGATCTATTAGCCTGTAATCAGTTAGCATGTGGTTTCTCAGTCTGTGAGTGATGAGCTTGTGATAATTAGCCTGTGATCAGTTAGCATGTGATTGGTTAGACTGTGATCAGTTAGCATGTGATCTATTAGACTGTAATCAGTTAGCATGTGGTTTCTAAGTCTGTGAGTGATGAGCTTGTGATAATTAGCCTGTGATCAGTTAGCCTGTGATCAGTTAGCATGTGATTGGTTAGCCTGTGATAAGTTAGCATGTGATTGATTAGTCTGTGATTGGTTAGCATGTGGTTTCTCAGTCTGTGATTGATGAGCTTGTGATAATTAGCCTGTGATCAGTTAGCATGTGATTGGTTAGACTGTGATCAGTTAGCATGTGATCTATTAGCCTGTAATCAGTTAGCATGTGGTTTCTCAGTCTGTGATTGATGAGCGTGTGATAATTACCATGCGATCAGTTAGCATGTGATCCGTTAGCCCATAATCAGTTAGCATGTGGTTTCTCAGTCTGTGATTGATACGCTTGTGATAATTAGCCTGTGATCATTTCTCTGTGATTAATTTGCCTATGATTGGTTATTGTGTGATTGATGAGTAAACCAGTAACCTGTGATCTGTTAGTCTGTCGCTGATGAGCCTGTAAGCAATTGGCCTGTGATTGGTTAGCCTGCCTTCAGTTAGCCTTGATTGATTAGCCTATAAATTTGTTAGCACGTGTTTGGTGAGCTTGTGATCAGTTAGCCTATGATGTTTTAGCCTATGACTGGTTAGCCATGGATCAGTTGGCCCTTTGATTGGGTTTAGCCACCGCTGCCACTCTCACCTGCTTAAAGCTCATAATGTTGTGTGAAGCACCTCCTTGTTTCTACACTCATTGTCCATTTTATCAGCTCCACTTACTATATAGGGTCACTTTGTAGTTCTACAGTTACAGACTGTAGTCCATCTGTTTCTCTGCATACTTTGTTAGCCCCCTTTTACCCTGTTCTTCAGTGGTCAGGACCCCCATGGACCCTCACAGAGCAGGTACTATTTGGGTGGTGGATCATTCTCAGCACTGCAGTAACACAGACGTGGTGGTGGTGTGTTAGTGTGTGTTGTGCTGGTACGAGTGGATCAGACACAGCAGTGCTGCTTGTGTTTTTAAACACTGTGTCCACTCACTGTCCACTCTGACACTCCTACCTTGTCAGTCCACCTTGTAGATGTAAAGTCAGAGACGATAGCTCATCTGCTGCTGCACAGTTTGTGTTGGCCATCCTCTAGTCCTTCATCAGTGGTCACAGGACGCTGCCCACAGGACGCTGTTGGCTGGATATTTTTGGTTGGTGGACTATTCTCAGTCCAGCAGTGACACTGAGGTGTTTAAAAACTCCAGCAGCACTGCTGTGTCTGATCCACTCAGACCAGCACAACACACACTAACACACCACCACCACGTCAGCGTTACTGCAGTGCTGAGAATGATCCACCACCCAAATAGTACCTGCTCTGTGAGGGTCCATAGGGGTCCTGACCACTGAAGAACAGGGTAAAAGGGGGCTAACAAAGTATCAGAGAAACAGATGGACTACAGTCTGTAACTGTAGAACTACAAAGTGCACCTATATAGTAAGTGGAGCTGATAAAATGGGCAATGAGTGTAGAAACAAGGAGGCGGTCATAATGTTATGACTGATCAGCGTATTTAATGAACAGTGCCAGATTAACAGAACTCCCTCCTTCAAGTACAATTTCATAGACATGAATGGAGTTAGCCACCTCACTTTAACAACATACTACAGCTTTAACGCAAACCTGACTAACAGGTCTACGACGCTAACAGGGCAGTAAACTGTATTAGAATTCACAGATTCACCCAATACATTTTCTTATCCCAGGGTACAGATGAACTGTGCTACTATCGCACACCACTACTCACTAATTTAGCTCCAGTCTCCATCCTCACACCATTCCTGACCCTGCATGTGGGCAGCAACATCACTGAAACCAAATGAATCCCACAGTCTGAGCTACAAGCTGGAATCATCACTAACAGACTGGATCCAGACACTGATGTTTTCCTTATCACTGAAGTAGCTCGTTCAGTCTGTCCGGTAGCAATTAAACAATAACCAGGATGTTTACTCAGAGCCTTTACGCAGAGACTGACATGACAGACAGAACACACACCTGTCCAAGAACAGAACACACACCTGTTCAGAGACCTGTTTTTCCACTGAGCTGTAAAAGTGCTCTGAACTCCTCCATGCTTCAGTGAAGCTGAGCATTAAAAGAGTCCAGACAACAGACTGCAGAGACGTCTGTGAAAATATACGTTTGAAAAATCTGCATTTGACACATAAAAGCACTGTTTTAACGGGTATTTAATGTTTTGGGGAATTTCAGATTGTGTTTTTTAATCAAAATTTGTGTATTATCTCTCCTGAGACAAACAAAAAATTGTCTTAACAAACACTTGGGACTTGAGGTGTTAGGGCCATATCTGTTAGCACCATGGACCTGTTAGTGACATAGGCTAGATTACTGTAATGCCCGGCTGTCTGGATGTTCCAGCAAAAGCCTTAACAAGCTTCAGCTAGTCCAGAACGCTGCAGCCAGAGTTCTTACTAGAACCAGAAAGGTTGACCATATCAGCCCAGTTTTATCAACCTTACACTGGTTACCAGTTAAATTTCGCATTGATTATAAAATTCTCTTACTGACCTATAAAGCTCTAAACGGACTCGCCTCTCAGTACCTGAGTGAACTTCTCTCCCACTATGAACCATCCCGCCTACTTAGATCACAAGGTGCTGTTCACTATTAGTACCTAGAATTAATAAAGCTACATCAGGGGGCGGAGCTTCTCACACAAAGACCCCCAGCTTTGGAATAATCTTCCAGTCAGTGTTCGGGACTCAGACTCAGCCTCAGTGTTTAAGTCTAGGCTAAAAACCCACTTGTTCAGTGGAGCCTTTGGTAATTAGTTTTCCCTGTCAGATAAAAGGTGCAGATCTGGGGTTCATGGTCAGAGAGTATTATGGTAAACTGGGAGTGTTGGTGCTGTCGTCCTGCTGCTCACTCACTCACTCAGGTTTGTTGACGGTGGAGCGGAGGGATGCCGACATCTCCGGGAGCCTCATGACTCCGTTACCTTTCTGGTTTCTCCCTCTTAGTGAGGCTGTAATATCTAGACCTGCTGGAGTCTCTGCTGCTCTGTTAACCCTGTAATCTGTGGTCAGTCCCTCTGTACTGAACTGACTCTCTGTGTGTTTCCTTTTCTTTGCCGGGTTGAACAGCTGCCCATCCTGTGCGATCTGCTCGCCAGCCTTCTGGACTGTTTTGACCACCATTGAGCTTCACGCTGTACAACGCTGTGCAAACCTCACCATCATGAACTGACCCTCCTGCTGCTGCTGCTGCTTAAACTCAAACTATCTAATGAACCGTTGCTCCACCTGTTTTTCCCCATTTTGTGTTCTAATATTTTATACTAACACTGCTGTCCGGTGTCGACCAGAGGAGGATGGACTCCCCTTTTGAGTCTTGGTTCCTCTTGGTAGTGCCATAGAACTGTTAGTGCCATAGACCTGTTAGAACCATATGCCTGTTAGTGCCATAAACCTGTTAGTACTATAAACCTGTTAGCACCATAGACCTGTTAGCGCCATAGACCTATTAGCATTATAACCCGTTAGTTCAAAATACCAGTTAGCACCATAGAACTGTTAAAGTCATAGACCTGTTATAACCGTACACATGCTAGCACCATAGACCTGTTAGCTCCAAATAGCTGTTACTGCCACGGACATGTTAGCTCCAAAGACCTATTAGCTCCATTGACCAGTTAGTGCAATTGAACTGTTAGCTCCATAGACCTGTTAGCGCCACAGACCTGTTAGCACTGTAAACCTGTTAGCTCCAAATACTAGTTAGCGCCACAGATCTGTTTGTGCCATAGAATTGTTGGTGCTATAAACCTGTTAATGTCATTGATCTGTTAGCGTCATAGACCTGTTAGCGCTATAAACCTGTTAGCTCCAAGTACTGGTTAGCACCACAGACCTGTTAGCTCCATAGACCGGTTATGGACTTAGCCCTATTAACCTCAAAGGCCTGTTAGGTCTAGAATATAATGGTTTTAGATATAAAGGAGAACCTTCACACCATTCTAGCCAACTATCAGAAGATGAGTCACGTTATTACCCATGTGAGGAAACACAACATTCACAAAGAGCAGTCTGAGCTCCTAAAGAAGGATTTTATTAAACTTTTAATCACTCAGAGAACTAAATACAGTCAGTGGTTCATTACCAGCACGGGGATCGAGTATGTTTTTAAGATTGCTTACATTAAATACATGGCTTACTAGGACCTGCAGTAAAAAGGGCTTCATTACATCACCAACTTTTCAGAGCTCCACCTAAAAAAGCCAGGACTGAAAGCGCTAAGAGACGTTCTCTTTTCCCTGGACACATTTAGACCCCTGGACATGCCACTCTGCATCCCAAGATCTGCACTGAAAAGAATGCAGGATGGGCACACAAGGATGGGCCACCAGTCAAGGTAATCCACCCACCCAAAGACATACTACAGGCAGACTGTGAATATCTGTCAAAACAACATCTCTATCACTCTCATCCAAATAGTGTTTCACAGTTGGGCTTCTCTGTGAAGATAGAGGAGTTGGTGTCTACTGGAACAAAGCTCTCCGACTCCATCATCATAACCACCCGAGCACTACCTACAAAACTTTAGGCCCCCCCAACAGCCTGACCACCCCCCAAGGGGAAGATCCCTTCGCCCTCTGCCACAGTGCCAGCAATGGTACCTCATTAGCCTTGATAACACCCACTGCACTACAAACACTGTGACCTTGAACAGATACGCAGAGGATTCTCACAACACTGGATATGACTATCGGGGTTGTCTGATTGCAGTTTAAGCCATTCCTGTTCTTATCAGAAACAGAAAAGCAGGACACACAAGGCCGGTGAGTACGAATCCAGCCTGCAATCACTGAAACGTGAATCAGAGATCCTGGAGCTGAGGATGAGGGTCTTTAATGTAAATCTCTCAACATCAGGTCTTTTAAAGGCAAAACATTTTAATCAGTGGCCTCTTTTGCACTACAGGACCGGGTGCTTCTGAGCACAGAGGGTAGCTGTTCCAGTGACGTTTCCACACAGACACGGTTCGACACGGAACGCTTATAAATCAGGCTCAGCTCATTTGTTTCTTTCACAGTTAGCCAACCGTACTCAGGGCCACAGAACCGTTCGGTGGGATGATGTAACGACGTAGCTCTTCGCTGATTGGTTCCATGTTTATGTCGGGATTGTATGACAGTATCCTGCTGCGCTATTTCAAACCTGAAAGCATTCAAATAAATTTGGTTTGCTCAAATAAATGAAAACCACCATTCAGTAAACATCAAAGCTTCACTCTTACACCGATTTCTAAAGGTTAAATGGCGCTGATAATCAGCTAGAAGAGAGTAACTGGTTAGCGTTAGCATAGCGCTGCTCACCACAGAACAGATTCGATTCTGACTAACAAAATCTTTATTGACACAAATTTAGATGATAATGACACAAGTCTGAGGAAGGGAGGTCAAGAGGCTGATGTTTGAAGGAGAGAAAGCTGAATGAGAAATACTGAGAAACACAATGAGCCTCCATGCTCAGTAACATGGCTGCATGCCCAACTTCACCGTGCAGAGAAAGCCTTATGTTAAATTTTGGTGCCACTGACACTGGATTTCTAACTGAAACAGTAATGGGACTTGTTAGCGCCATAGACCTGTTACAGACTCAGCCCAGTTATCCCTTTTAGCCCTGTTAATCTTAAAGATCTATTAGCTCCATAGACCTGTTACAGACTCAGCCCAGTTACCCCTTTTAGCCCTAATAACCTCAGAGACCTGTTAGCGCCTTGGACCTGTTACAGACTCAGCCCAGTTACCCCTTTTAGCCCTGTTAATCTTAAAGATCTATTAGCTCCATAGACCTGTTACAGACTCAGCCCAGTTACCCCTTTTAGCCCTGTTAATCTTAAAGATCTGTTAGCTCCATAGACCTGTTACAGACTCAGCCCAGTTATCCCTTTTAGCCCTAATAACCTCAGAGACCTGTTAGCGCCTTAGACCTGTTACAGCCTCAGTCCTATTAACCTCAGAGACCTGTTAGCTCCATAGACCTGTTACAGACTCGGCCCTATCAACCTCAGAGACCTGTTAGCTCCATAGACCTGTTACAGACTCAGCCCTATTAACCTCAGAGACCTGTTAGCGCCATAGACCTGTTACAGCCTTAGTCCTATTAACCTCAGAGACCTGTTAGCACCATAGACCTGTCACAGACTCAGCCCTATTAACCTCAGAGACCTGTTAGCTCCATAGACCTGTTACAGACTCGGCCCTAGTAACCTCAGAGACCTGTTAGCGCCATAGACCTGTTACAGCCTTAGTCCTATTAACCTCAGAGACCTGTTAGCTCCATAGACCTGTTACAGACTCAGCCCTATTAACCTCAGAGACCTGTTAGCGCCATAGACCTGTTACAGCCTTAGTCCTATTAACCTCAGAGACCTGTTAGCACCATAGACCTGTCACAGACTCAGCCCTATTAACCTCAGAGACCTGTTAGCTCCATAGACCTGTTACAGACTCGGCCCTAGTAACCTCAGAGACCTGTTAGCTCCATAGACCTGCCACAGACTCAGCCCTATTAACCTCAGAGACCTGTTAGCTCCATAGACCTGTTACAGACTCAGCCCAGTTATCCCTTTTAGCCCTGTTGATCTTAAAGATCTGTTAGCTCCATAGACCTGTTACAGCCTCAGCCCTCTTAACCTTAGAGACCTGTTAGCGCTATAGACCTGTTACAGCCTCAGCCCTATTAACCTCAGAGACCTGTTAGCTCCATAGACCTGTCATAGACTCAGCCCTAGTAACCTCAGAGACCTGTTAGCGCCATAGACCTGCCACAGATTCAGCCCTAGTAACCTCAGAGACCTGTTAGCTCTATAGACCTCTTACAGCCTCAGCCCTATTAACCTCAGAGACCTGTTAGCGCCATAGACCTGTTACAGACTCAGTCCTATTAACCTCAGAGACCTGTTAGCACCATAAACCTGTCACAGACTCAGCCCTATTAACCTCAGAGACCTGTTAGCTCCATAGACCTGTTACAGACTCGGCCCTAGTAACCTCAGAGACCTGTTAGCTCCATAGACCTGCCACAGACTAAGCCCTATTAACCTCAGAGACCTGTTAGCACCAAAGACCTTTTACAGACTCAGCCCTATTAACCTCAGAGACCTGTTAGCTCCATAGACCTGTTACAGACTCAGCCCAGTTATCCCTTTTAGCCCTGTTGATCTTAAAGATCTGTTAGCTCCATAGACCTGTTACAGCCTCAGCCCTATTAACCTTAGAGACCTGTTAGCGCTATAGACCTGTTACAGCCTCAGCCCTATTAACCTCAGAGACCTGTTAGCTCCATAGACCTGTCATAGACTCAGCCCTAGTAACCTCAGAGACCTGTTAGCGCCATAGACCTGCCACAGATTCAGCCCTAGTAACCTCAGAGACCTGTTAGCGCTATAGACCTCTTACAGTCTCAGCCCTATTAACCTCAGAGACCTGTTAGCTCCATAGACCTGTTACAGATTCAGCCCTATTAACCTCAGAGACCTGTTAGCTCCATAGACCTGTTACAGCCTCAGCCCTATTAACCTCAGAGACCTGTTAGCTCCATAGACCTGTCACAGACTAAGCCCTATTAACCTCAGAGACCTGTTAGCTCCATAGACCTGTCACAGACTCAGCCCTATTAACCTCAGAGACCTGTCAGCTTCATAGATCTGTTATAGACTCAGCCCTATTAACTTCAAAGACCTGTGTCATAGACCAGTTCCAGACCAGTTATCCCTTTTAGCCCTGTTCATCTTAAAGATCTGTTAGCTCCATAGATCTGTTAACTCCATAGACCTGTTATAGCCTTAGCCTCATTGACCTCAATTACCTGTTAACTCCATAGACCTATAATTCCCTTATACCTATTAACCTTAAAGACCTGTAAGTGCCATAACACTGTTAGCATCCTAGTCCTTTTACCACCTCAATACTGTTAGAGGAATTATTATTGCCATTATACTGTTAGCATGATGAAACTGTTAGCATTGCAGTCCAGTTAGTGCTATGGATCCATTATCACTATAGACCTATCAGTACCCCAGGTCCTAGTATGGACCTGTTGCTGGTACATGTGTGCACTGCTGTACTGTACCTCTTTATCCTTCAGTCCCAGCAGCAGTATTTCCTCCATCAGAGTCAGTCTCAGTGCTTTAGAGTCTCCATCCTCCTCTTCATCAGAGGCTCTGCCCTTCTGCTCCTCCTCCTCCTCCTGACCGCGGCTCTCTGTGGATATGGGTGCGTCCGTGCGGCGACTCCTCTTCGTCAGAGTGGTCATTCTGCCGCTCTTGGATCCTAAAGCATCAGCAGGACTTTAACACACTGCAGAACAGCAGTCGTTTTATGTTCTCTATTCTACAGCCTGTGCTTAGTGTATCTGAGTAAAACTCTCCATATGACCTCTAGGGTCTGCTGAGAAAGGTGCTGGGATTAGGAGAGTCAAACATGATGGGATTATGAGAGTGTAAAAAGTGCTGGGACTATGAAAGTGTGAAAGGTATTGGGATTATGAGACTGTGAACAATGCTGGGATTATAAGAATATTAATAATGCTAAAATATTTTGAAAGTGTGAAAGATGTTGGGATTATGAGTGTGTGTGAAATGTTCTGGGATTAAACAAATGTGAAGCATGCTGGGATGCTGGGAAAGTCTCAAAAGTGTTGGCATTATGGAATAGTTAATAAATTTGGATTATTAGAATGTGAAAGCTGTTAATATGATGAACATGGTAAAGATAGTTAAAGATTATGAGAGTCTATTTTGGAGGGGTTATAAGAGTGAAAAATGGTGGGATTAACAACACAAAGTTAAAAGTAACAAACATGTTAAATGACTGGAAAGAGCAGTGATTGTGAGAATGTTAAAGGTTTTGTCATGAGATTGTGGAACGTGATGGGATTAAGAGAAAGTTAAAAATATAATGAAGTGTGAAAGGTGTACGGATTACAAGAATATTGAAATGTTAAAATATTATGCGGTCTCAAAGACGTTGAGTTTGTGATAGTGTGAACAACGTTGGGATTATGAGAGCAATAAAAACATTAAAATATTTTGAAAGTCTGAAAGATGTTGAGGTTATGAAAGTTTGAATGTTTCTGGGACAGCATGAAATATTCTGAGATTACAGGAGTGTGGACATCTCACAGTATGTAATGAGCCAGTTGAACACGGATGAATGGTGTTTGGGTGGTGCGGTGTGTTTGGTGTTTGGATTATAGGAGTGTGAATGGTGTGTGAATGAAAAGGTTAATAGTCTGTTTAGATTCTTTGTCTCTGAAGGACTGAAAATATGCAGACAGTGTGGGAGTAATCTGAAGGTGATGTTGGCAGAACAGGACATTATAACCTCTGTAATCTCACAAAGGCCTGTGCTCTTCTCTCTGCCTCTGAACATGGGAAATTTACATATGCTTTTCTGTCAGTTTAGAGAGATTACTGTAACCACCTAAGAGCTTTTATTCATTTACAATGAGCTCAGACAGCTGCTGCTAGAATCTCAGAACAAGCAGCCTCTTATATCACTTCACTGGTTACAGCTAAGATTCTTTATTTCATTCATAAGTTATTATTAGTTATAAATATAAAATGAATACTTTTATACTCTAGAATACAACATATTAGTCAATAAACAAACTGAATAAACACTGCTACAAATGCTGCTATAAATGCTGCTATAACACTAAAACAGGAGCCATTAGTCAATACGTCCTCAATAAACTCTCCTATATGCTAAAATAGGAGATATTAGTCAATACACATCCTCACTTAACTCTTCTCTATGCTAGAATAGGAGATATTAGGCAATAAACGTCCTTGATAAACTCTCCTATATGACAGAATGAGAGATATTAGTCCATACACAACCTCGATAAACACTGCTATACACTAAAATAGAAGATATTTGCCCATAAACAACCTCAATAAACTCTCCTATAAGGCAGAATGAGAGATATTAGTCCATACACAACCTCGATAAACACTGCTATACACTAAAATATGAGATATTAGTCTATACAAATCCCTAAGAAAGTCTCCTATATGCTCGAATAGGAGATATTAGTTCATAACCTACCTCAATAAACATCCCTTTATGCTAGAATAGGAGATACTAGTCCATAAACGACCTCAATAAACACTCCTATACACTAGAATAGGGGATATTAGTCCATAAAGACCCTCCATAAAGTCTCCTATACACTCAAATAGGAGATATTAGTTCATAACCGACCTCAATAAACATCCCTTTATGCTAGAATAGGAGATATTAGTCCATATACCACCACAATAATCACTCATATATGCTAGAATAGGAGATATTAGTCCATAAACCGACCTCAATAAACACTTGTATATGCTAGAATAGGAGATATTAGTCCATAAACCACCTCAATAAACACTTGTATATGCTAGAATAGGAGATATTAGTCCATACAAAACTCAATAAACAATCCTATATACCAGAATAGGAGATATTAGTCCATAAACCACCTCAATAAACACTTGTATATGCTAGAATAGGAGACATTAGTCCATAAAACCCTCAATAACGCTCCTATACAGAATAGTACTAGAATAAGCCTGCATTATAATGTTTAGTGGTTTAGAGGGTTTAGGTATGACAGAGTTCATCAAGATTTTGCTGAACCGATGCGAGTTTGAGGTGTAATTTCAGGTTCTTCTTGTTTTCCCACCTTTAGGACGCTTTGTTTTATTTTATCAGTGTGTTCCTGAACTGCACCATTCCTGCAGTGCTGTGTGACTCCAGCCTGAGATCCTGCTGCTTCGAGCCCTGTCAGATCTCTAACTGACCTGACTGTGTGGTATATATGTTTTTGCCTAGCCTTGGTGTCCAGGTGAGTGTATTACCTGGGGCAGGGTCACTGACCCCTGATCTAAAGTACACTATACAAATACAGTATTACTGAATAATGACAATTACACACTTTGATTGTTTATTTTTATTCACTTATATATACTTTAGAACCTCTCACTACTGGTTCCACCTTAAATAGCACAATATAGTTTATTTAGTAACACTTTATAATAACTTTAATAAACTTTACCTTTTAACCTTTTTAAACGTCCAGGGCCCACAGACAGGCCCAGAGATCTACTACACACTTCTATAAGAATAACTCAGCCAGTGCTGAAGTCCCTGTAGTCACTGAGTAATCAGACTCAGTGTGTAATAAGTCTGGGATTTTAGAGGGTTAACATCACCCAATAGCTTGTTAAGGACCATTATTAATTATATAATGAATACATTATAATGCTGCAACTTTGTAATAGATGTCCACTTACATATTATGTTTAATATTTAAAAAGTTATTTTTTAATATGTTTAATATTTAAAAACCTTTATTTATGGTATTTAAATGTCTTTAAATGATGCTTAATTATTTGAAACAGGACACAAACAGATCATTCAGAATCATTAGGAAATGTTTTAATGCATAATAGCTTAATCAAATTTGTAACGGTTGATTAAATAACTTGAATTATATTTGAAAATGATAAATATCAAAAAATTGTTCATAATAATTAATAATACTAATAAACATTAAATGGTTAACAGCAAACTGTAACTAGTAATTATATTTTATTTATTTATTTCTAATTGTTTTATTTATTTGTATAAATTATTCTTGATTAATCATGTCTCTAACTAAATAGTTAATAACTAGTATGTTACAATTTATCATTACATATGTAACTATCACATAAACATTAACAGTGACAGACTATTATGTAATTATTAAATTGCTGTTTATCAGGTCCTGTTATTATAGTGTTATTATAGTGTTATAATTTCTGTCTTTGTGTGAGCAAAATAAATTCATCTAATCTGAAAACATACAGTAAAATTAAACAAAGTTGTTTGACTTGCAAACGGAAAGTATTTTAGTGACCCATTACGGGCCATTGATGCAGGGAGCACCTCAGTAAGCACTGGACACACAGTAAGAGAGAAATGTGTAAATAGTTATTACTCCTGGACATTAAGAGGTGCAGTAGGGTTTTTGTGCCTTGTATGTGTGATTCTGACCTGCCTGCTGTTCCAGTCATTCAGCAGGACTGAGCAGCAGTTCTGTTCTGCTGCTGTGTTCAATAAAAGAGCATTTGCTTGAAGCACTCTGTTTCTTGCATCTTCATGCTCTACGGAACCGCAAACTCAGCAGCAAAATGGCAGGGAAGACTGTTCGGTTAAGGACTGCGAGGGGGCGCTGAGACAGGACAATGAGGCTCGACAGCAGAGCCAGACTGGAGGAAGGCAGCCATTTGGACGGTGGCCGGCCATGAGAACCTGCTGGCAAGGATGCCTCGATGGTAGCTGGCGAGAGTAGACCTAACGGCAAGGCTGCCGCACGAGGCTGGAGCTGAAAGGTGGCAAGGGCGGTGCGGCATGGCGAGGCATGGTGGTAGTGTGGTCGGTCAAGCCACGTGTCTGAGCTCCAGTGTACACAAGCAGCAACCTGCTGGCGTCTGTGGTGCTGTGGGCAGCAGAGAAAGAGGAGAGCAGCCAAGGGAGCACCACTGATACTGTTGCTGCCCCAAAGATGTGGCCCTAAGGGACGACTAGCGCAGCATGTGGCCGAGAGCACATACCACGGGGTGAGTGTTTACACCCCTGCTCAGACCGACTGCTCTGACTTTATCTATCAATATGAATCATCTACGAGTGCACTCACTAAGACAAATTCCTCATATGTGAAACATAATTGGTGAAACAAAGCAATTCTGACTCTGGTTCTTTGCTCAGAGTTTGTAAAGTCACTGGAATGGCTCTTCTGGAAGAGGAGCTATGTAGTGACCCACTATTGGCCATGGACGCCCGGCAGAGCACCTCAGGAAGCGCTGGACACCCAGTAAGAGAGACTTAAAATGTGTACATAGTTGTTGTTAAGGATGTTAAGAGGTGCAGTGGTGTTTTTTATGCCCTGTATGCGCCACTCCGGCCTGGGTTTTGGGTCAGTAATGCAGTGTTAAGTATCTACTATGTGCAGGAAATGCGTAGCTGTAGGTGACCTGCCTGCTATTCCGGTCATTCAGTAGCACTGAGCGGTGGTCCTCCCTGCTGCTATGTTCATTATAGAGCATTTACTGAAAGTCCTACCATTCCAGCATCTTTTTACTCTACACTGACGCCACAATATGCTGACATTAGTAAATAATTTGTGCTGTCTTTAAGTAACTGGTTTAAACAAAAGGGACAAAAATGAATGAAAATATGTTCCAATGAATGGAAATTTTACACTGCAAAAAATCTTGTGTAGTGAAATGATCTTAAATCTAGTTGATCCATATCTAATATTTCCCATTTTGAAATGGTTGTGCACTTATTGTAAGATTGTTTACCTTATTTCTAGACATTTTTACTTTATCAAGTAAAATTTTCTCACTATACTGACAGATAATTCTGCTGGTTTCAAGCTCATTTCTTAAAACAAGCAAAATTACCTGCCACTGTAGTGAGATGATTTTTCTTAATAAAATCGTTTAAAACAAGTAATGTCTAGAAATAAGATAAATAATCTTAAATTAAGCTTACAACAATCTCAACCCAAGAAATATTAGATTTATTGACTATATTTAAGATGATTTTACTTTAAAAGATACGATTGCAGTGTAAAATTTTCAGATATTTTGTAAAATTTTCAAATTTCCAAAAAGAAATTCAACAAAGCCATTTAAGTTGCACTGAATACCCTACGCTTTGAGTGTATTGACCAAAAGCAATTCTTCTTCCTCCTCTTCTGCGCAGGTTTGTAAAAAAGAATAAAATAATGACATCTGAAAATATGATGTAGATTAGACATGTAGATTATTTTTCCTGACTGACGTTTACAGCCTGATCCAGCAGAAGCTCCTCACGTACTGAAACTTTATAAACAGAAACAGTACTTACCTCACTCACTGCGGAGAAACAGACAAACTCAGACTGTCCTTTTAGTACTGCTGCTACAAAAACATCCACAGACAAGTCCTACAGACGGAAATTCCTACAGAAATAAAGCGCTACAGGTGTAAAGTCCTACTTTCTGAGTGTTACATGAGTAAATAAACACTCCTCACACTTCCTGCTCCTCCTCGCTTTAACTGTAGTGTGAGGCAATCTGCTGTAGAGCAGAAAGTTGTGAATCCGCTTCAGGGAACCAGTTGGAGCAGTTTAAATATGTGCAGTGGGTGGAGCACTGACCTTACACCAAACACACACAGGTATCACAGCAACCTGCTCACATGCAAAGCATACAGGTATACTGCTCACCTGCAAGGCAGAAATGTACCCTGCTGACCTGTGAAACTCACAGGTTTCTGCTTACCTGTAAAAACAGACAGGTAACACACTCACCCGTTAAACACAGGTAATGTGCTCACCTGTAAAACACACAGCTAACCTGCTCACCTGTAAAACACACAGTTAACCTGCTCACCTGTAAAACACACAGCTAACCTGCTCACCTGTAAAACACACAGCTAACCTGCTCACCTGTAAAACACACAGTTAACCTGCTCACCTGTAAAACACACAGCTAACCTGCTCACCTGTAAAACACACAGCTAACCTGCTCACCTGTAAAACACACAGCTAACCTGCTCACCTGTAAAACACACAGCTAACCTGCTCACCTGTAAAACACACAGCTAACCTGCTCACCTGTAAAACACACAGTTAACTGCTCACCTGTAAAACACAAGGTTAACCTGCTCACCTGTAAAACACACAGCTAACCTGCTCACCTGTAAAACACACAGTTAACTGCTCACCTGTAAAACACAGTTAACCTGCTCACCTGTAAAACACACAGCTAACCTGCTCACCTGTAAAACACACAGTTAACTGCTCATCTGTAAAACACACAGCTAACCTGCTCACCTGTAAAACACACAGTTAACTGCTCACCTGTAAAACACACAGCTAACCTGCTCACCTGTGAAACACACAGCTAACCTGCTCACCTGTAAAATACACAGCTAACCTGCTCACCTGTGAAACACACAGCTAACCTGCTCACCTGTAAAACACACAGCTAACCTGCTCACCTGTAAAACACACAGCTAACCTGCTCACCTGTGAAACACACAGCTAACTGCTCACCTGTAAAATACACAGCTAACCTGCTCATCTGTAAAACACACAGCTAACCTGCTCACCTGTAAAACACACAGCTAACCTGCTCACCTGTAAAACACACAGTTAACTGCTCATCTGTAAGACACACAGCTAACCTGCTCACCTGTGAAACACACAGCTAACCTGCTCACCTGTAAAACACACAGCTAACCTGCTCACCTGTGAAACACACAGCTAACCTGCTCACCTGTAAAACACACAGTTAACCTGCTCACCTGTGAAACACACAGCTAACCTGCTCACCTGTAAAACACACAGTTAACCTGCTCACCTGTAAAACACACAGCTAACCTGCTCACCTGTAAAACACAGTTAACTGCTCACCTGTAAAACACACAGCTAACCTGCTCACCTGTAAAACACACAGCTAACCTGCTCACCTGTGAAACACACAGCTAACCTGCTCACCTGTAAAACACACAGCTAACCTGCTCACCTGTGAAACACACAGCTAACCTGCTCACCTGTAAAACACAGTTAACTGCTCACCTGTAAAACACACAGCTAACCTGCTCACCTGTAAAACACAGTTAACTGCTCACCTGTAAAACACACAGCTAACCTGCTCACCTGTAAAACACAGTTAACCTGCTCACCTGTAAAACACACAGCTAACCTGCTGACCTGTAAAACACAGTTAACTGCTCACCTGTAAAACACACAGCTAACCTGCTTACCTGTAAAACACAGTTAACCTGCTCACCTGTAAAACACACAGCTAACCTGCTCACCTGTAAAACACAGTTAACTGCTCACCTGTAAAACACACAGCTAACCTGCTCACCTGTAAAACACAGTTAACTGCTCACCTGTAAAACACACAGCTAAACTGCTCACCTGTAAAACACAGTTAACTGCTCACCTGTAAAACACACAGCTAAACTGCTCACCTGTGAAACACACAGCTAACCTGCTCACCTGTAAAACACAGGTATAATGCTCACCTGTAAAACACACAGCTAACCTGCTCACCTGTGAAACACACAGCTAACCTGCTCACCTGTGAAACACACAGTTAACCTGCTCACCTGTAAAACACACAGCTAACCTGCTCACCTGTGAAACACAGGTATAATGCTCACCTGTAAAACACACAGCTAACCTGCTCACCTGTAAAACACACAGCTAACCTGCTCACCTGTAAAACACAGGTATAATGCTCACCTGTAAAACACAGGTATAATGCTCACCTGTACGAAGGTCTTCACCTCAATAAGTTCCTCAGTAAAACCTCTTTTTCCTCATTTCACTGCTGTGTTAATCTGTAAATGTCAGCTTATTTTAAATGTTTTAATAACACTAATAATGAAAATAATTGCATCGTAAATATAGTATAAATATATGAAACCAGTGTTATGTGAATAGTATAAATGACTATGGAATTCAGACAACAAAAAAATAGACCTACCTTATTTAAAATCATTTTGCAGTAACTCATTTTTTGGCTACTTTTCTATTTTAATAATCTATTTTTATTCCATAATTGTAATTACTTTATATCAACATTATTATGTCTTTTTTAAACTCCTACAAATATACAGTAACAATATAATAATAAATAAATATGATAGATTAGCCCAGACTAACCCTGGACTAACACAGTAAATAATAACACTCTAGTTAATGATACTTGTAAATAATAACGTGTGTGAATATTAGTATATTAGTAAAGAGCAGCACATTACTTTGGGTGTGATTTATTAGCCAATCCCTTCGCAGGAGGGCAGAGGGGAAAATAAATAAATAAACATGATTCGGTTTCATGTAGAATGGCGCCCTCATGTGGCCGTTACACTGAAGCACTGATAAGATTCAGTACTGAACCTCACTGGTGTTATTATCCCAACATCCTTCCACTCATCTATCCGTCTATTTATCCATCCATTTCGTCTTTATATACTTCCATTCATCCATCCATAATATCCTACCATCCACTCATTGATCTAACCCTCCATCTTTATTTCTTTCATCTATCCATCAATCCATTTATCCTTTCATTCTTCCATCCATCCACCTATCCTACTATCCATCTAATGATCATTCCTCCATATTTATATTCTTTGATCCATCCATTCCTCCATATCCATTTCCATCATCTTCCATTCATACATCCATTCATCCTTCCATCTTACTTCATCTCAGCATTCCTCCATTTCTTCTTCCATCCCAACATCAGTCCATACCTTCATCCTTCCAGCCATCCTTCTACCTGTCTATCCATTTCTCTAATCCTCTGATCTGTCCTCCTCCGTCCGTCCATCCCTCCCTCCTTTTTTCTCTCATTGAAAGACAGAGAGAGATGGATAGATAGATAGATAGATAGATAGATAGATAGATAGATAGATAGGATTTATTTTTTTTATTTAATCATAATGAATCATATTATGCGTATATATATATATATATATATATATATATATATATATATATATATATATATACGCATATATGTGTGTATATATATATATATATATATATATATACACACACACACACACAGAGACCTAGTTTGGACCATAACTTTATTTTTTACTCATTTCATGAATAAAACATAGATTTCAACACTTCTCTGTTCAGTCACAGTTAAAGTAACCTGTTTAACTGAAATGGCTGATTCAGGATGATGTGGCACTTTAGAAGAAGATGTTTGTCGCAGAAGCCTGAGGCTTCTGCCCGAGAGAGAGAGAGAGAGAGAGAGAGAGAGCGAGAGAGAGAGAGAGAGAGACAGAGACAGAGACAGAGAGAGAGAGAGAGAGAGAGAGAGAGGAAGTGCAACTTCCTGCAGTATAAACTATAACTTCCTGCAATATAAAGCACTTAAAACCCAAGAGCTCAGCCCTAAACCCAGTCCCCTCTGTCAGCTGGTTCTGAGACTAACTAACCCACTGACCCCTAACACACAACAGCCTCGGTCCAGCACTGCTGACCAAAGTCCAATCAGAATAAACCAAATGATCAGACACAGTAAAAACACCTATCTGGAACATTGGGACAGCGAAACCAGAACTCAGTCTAAATTACAGAACTATCGGGCCCTAAACAGAGTCTGGACTGGCAGAGTATCTCTTCACCGTCAGAGACCCACAGCAGAGACAGATCCTGACCAAGTACAGGCTCAGTGACCACAGTCTGGCCATAGAAACGGGCAGATATAAAAAATCCTGGCTGCCCAGAGAGAGAAGACTGTGCGGTCACTGTGAGAGCGGTGAGGTCGAGACAGAGCTGCACTTCCTCCTTCAGTGTGAAAAATTCAAATTTGTACGAGAAAATTTCATAACAAAATTAAAAAACATTCTCCCAAATTTTGAAATTCTAACAGAATCAGAAAGACTACCGATCTTCCTTGGTGAGGGCAGCTCAGCGTCTCTCGCTGCAAAATATGTGGCAACTTGTCACGGCCTGAGGGACAGTAACACACTCCACACCCCCACCTCCCTGACCCCCCAAACCCCTCACTGTATATAGGTTAAATACACCGATTGTAATTATTTTTACTATATAATATATGTTGTCTTATTTTATTTATTTACTGTATTTATTTATTTACTTTACCAAGCTTTACAACATGTATTATATTGTCTTATTTTATTTATTTACTTTATTTATTTTAACATCGTTGCTGTTATTTCAATGACCATTATTCATTGTTACTATTAATTCTATATTTGTTTTTTAGTTCTACAAAATATGTTCCGCTTTGAGTTGAATTTTATATGCTTTGGCAACATTGTACTCAAAACAGTCCTGCCAATAAAGCTACTTTGAATTTGAATTTGAGAGAGAGACAGAGAGAGAGAGAGAGAGACAGAGAGAGAGAGAGAGAGAGAGAGAGAGACAGAGAGAGAGAGAGAGAGAGAGAGAGAGAGAGAGAGAGAGAGAGAGAGAGAGAGAATAAAGCAGCTCCAGCTCTGATTTGGGCCGTATTTCACAAATCCATGTTTCTCAGTTTAGCCAGGTAACTTAAGCCTGAACTTAGCTAAGCCTGTTCAATAGCAAAACAGCTGAACACTCTTCATCTTAACTTGGCTTCAG